GTTCTCAAATTATTATACGTGTGCCACACAATAAAACTAATTCACTAATATTTGGTGCAAGGTGTCAATAAACCCACAAGATGAAAAGATGTCTCACACACATTCATGCTGCATACAGAAACTCAAACTTTGCTTTTACCTCTTTGATAAGCAGCTTGAAAACAGAAGGCACTTTCACTGCAATTTCATTCACTCCGAAGAACAGTCTCCTAAAAGACAGGAAGAAAAATTGTATTTAGTTTGTGTGTAAATACCAAAGACTGTGGATATTCCTCCTCCACTGTTCATTAACTCCAGTTACAATATCAGGGCTTATAGTTTTTAACCCCAACAACTGAACAACAACAACTCCTTGCACCTACAGTGCCGTACAAACTTGAGTGACTTTGTCTTTTGATTGAATGTTACCTGTACTCCTGCTGGTTCATAGTCAGGCCTGTGCTGTGCTCCGAGTGGAGGGTGGAGCAGCTGACCTGCAGATCCTCCAGGCCACTGTAATAGGAACATTGGAGGAGATACTTTAATTCCACATAACCGCAACAGCAAAAGCAAAACAAGCATGCAAGTTGCTATAAAATGAAAATCTTCTCCCCCTCAAGTTTTTTTTGTTAGTCAACATACAGAGCAAGAGTCATATATTTACTTGTCATTACTGCTGTGTGCAACCTTTGAAGAGTTTACTTAAGAGGATTCTGCAGTGAAAATTGAAAGTTATATAGTTATAAAAGAATGCTTACGTTAAAACCTCAAAGTTCTGCTTCTCGTCGTTCCAATAATACTTTGTGCTATGAAAGGTAAAGTAGCGAATCTGAGGGGAAAAAAGAGCAAAGGGACCAAAATAAGAGACAGATTTATTTGGCAAAAGTAATCATATTTGTATTGTTGTCCATAAAACAACCCTTCTATGAACTTTGAAAAACGACAGTCACATTCATTTATGTGCTTAGTGCATTTCCAGTTTATACTACAGATTTATGTTGAGACAAGTGTTGTGCCTACCTGCGTGGGCTGGTAGTCTGCAATTTTCTGATGAGCTCCTGAGCAGGGCTGCCATCGGAGGGATGAATGGTGTGTCCGTTGGCCTGAGGTGGGGAAGCAGAGGAGGAGAAGGGGTAGGAGAGGGAGGAAGGAGAGGAAGGGGAGGAGGGGGAGGTGGTCTGGGTCTCCAGGCTGTGGAAGGGGTTTCTCCCTGGGGCAAGCATCACTCGCACCCTGGCCAGGAACCAGCGCCGGAACTCATCCTAAACCACCCAAACAAAGTTAATCTAGTGAATTTCTGAGAAGCTTCATTAAGTAACAACAAATTTCCCCCTATTAAGTGCAACGTTTATGAGGAGGAACAACATTATTCTATATGTCAGTCTCCATTTTTAGTCACTGGGAAGTGGGGTGAGAGCTCATAACTATATTTCCATTAATATAACGGAAAAATACAGATGTGAAATTTTTTACTAAAATAATAATAATAATAATTAAAGCTGCAAGCAGCGTTATGAGGGCCCTCGCACCCCGGCACGTCGAGCCACGCCCAACACCTACAACCAGCACGTCCGATCTGATGTCAAATTGATGGAATTCATGCATTTAACCACCAGTAAAGTAAAGTGTGCATGTTAGTCCCCGTAGGGAAATAGTTCCTCTGCATTTAACCCATTCACCCAGTGAAGCAGTGGGCAGCCACCAATGCAGCGCCCGGGAAGCAGTGTGTAGGGACGGTACCTTGCTCAGGGGTACCTCAGGGTAGCGTTCAGTGGAGTCGAACCACCGACCTTCCGATCATGGGGCCACCACTCTACCTACTGAGCTATCCCTGCCCAGCTAACATTTCATCTCATTCGATCATGATTATAGTCGTCCCACTAGGTGGCGCTCTAAACATTACTGACAAATGGCATAACAACAACTATTTCTGAGCTCGAGTCTCATCATGCCTGCGACCTTTGTGTGAGATTGGACATTGTGTTTTTGAGTGACAGCAGATTACTGCTTTTTGGCGAGTGTTTGAAACTCCACGTGCCGTAATGACCACCCCGTTTCCCTCAACGTAAAAAGCTTCGCAATTTAACATCACAAAGGTCTTCAGATTCCACGCACTGCAGATCACGTCAATCTGATGAAAATCTTTGGAGGAGTTCGTTAAATGATTTGAAATTTTGTAGGGGGCGCTGTGGAGCCATTTTGCGCTATTCAAGGAAAGTGATCACATAACAACAAACCATTCATCACATTGGAGGTGTGCGCCAAATTTCAAGACTTTTTAAACTTTCCAAGCCCCTCAAAAGCCACTTCATTGTTAATGGTGAACCGCGCTGCCACCAGGGTGCGCCGTTGAGTTTAAAGTCACAGTTTTCGCACTGAAGCATCATGAGGGACTGATGGTGATATTCACCGCTTTTGAGGTGTCCACGATGAACCTGTGAAAATCAGTACAACAAAGTACACATGACATTTCCTGTTGCCACTAGGTGGCGCGCTGCGTATTCCTGACAATGGGAATATCAATCTATTCAGGGCGGGTATGACATCATGTCTGGTGCTGATCAGACTGGATTTCATTGAGTTATACTAATTTGTTTCTTCATGGCGAGACATCAAAGTTCGCCATGCTCTCGGGGTCACACCCTTTCGCGAAAACTCAGTTTTCACTGTAACCCAAGACCAACTCCTTAAGGCTTTCCAGGAGAAATTTGAAGCTGCAGATGTCACCCATCACAATACTGTACCCCAAAGTGTAAAACATGACATTTCCTGTTCCCACTAGGTGGCGCTGTCCTTGATGTCAAATGTGGCAGTTGAAATATGTTCAGGGGTGGAGGCTCATATGTGTGCTCTTTGGTCCAGATCGGACAATGTATGACAGAATGAGAGGCAATAAGATTTTCATGGCGAGTCATCGAAATTCGCCGTGGCACCACGGCCTCACCATATCACGAAAATTCAAAAGCTCCACAATTTAACATGGCCCAGGTGTGTAGTTGACACTGACCAAAGATGAAGCTTATACGACCAAATCCCAAGGAGGAGTTCGAAAAAGTTCGAGGCATGGAAATGGCAAAATTTAGAGCCAAAATGTCATCTTTACGTCCAAATGCCGGACTTCCTGTTGGGTTTGTGTCAATGTGCCCACAGACTTTTTTGTTCGTCTTGGCATGATACACATGTGTGTCAAATTTCATACATGTAGCTGAAATGATGTGGTCGTAGGACTGCATTTAACAAGGCATAGGTGGCGCTGTAGAGCCATTTCCCAGTGCTCATATTTAAAACCATTAAAATACAACATTTTTCACCAGACCTGGCATGTGTGCAAAATTTCATGAGTTTTTGAGCATGTTTAGGCCCTCAAAAAGGCCCTTGTTTTGCCTGAATAATAATAAGAAGAAGAAGAAGGAGAAACGGAGCAGATACAAAAGGGCCTTCGCACTTTTAGTGCTCGGGCCCTAATAATAATGTAGACAGACAGAAATCAACAAAAAAAACAACAAAGAAAAAGCCCACAACTGTGTTTGCACATATTAAAATTAAATGTTAATTATTATTATTATTATTTACTAGTCTTCAAAATAGTTACTTCTAATTACGTCTTTACCATTTTTTTCATGAATTGGCAACACCAAATAATAAATAAAAAAGAAGCCAAAATTGTTTTAATATGTTTTGATTAGTTTGTTGATAAAATGTTTAATCTCTAAAATCCACCACTTCCTTTCTTGATTAGATTTTTTCCAACCAAATATTAAAAACCCATTTAATACGAAGAAAGAGAGAAAAAAATAGAAAAACTTATTTTCTAAGTAAATAATTTTTCTCTCTTTTGAATAATAATGACTCACTGCTGCTTTACTTGCTACCTACCGTGGAGCGCAGCAACACCACTTTGGCCTCACGGGCTGTGGTACGAGTGCAGGTGGACTTGACGCACCATTCTGGCATCCAGTAGAGCACCAGGAGAAGGAAGCCCCCTGTACACAGCACCCCGAGGCCCACCAGGGCCAGCCGCCAACGACACAGACGGTAGCCCTGCAGCTCCTTAACAAAAAAAAAAAAGAGAAAACAGGAGCACAGTATGGCACGTTAGGTAACACAGTATGTAACTTTCTGGTAGTCCCACAGGAGTTAGCAGTGAAGACAAAGTAAGCGTAGCGGTCATCACTGTAGACTGGACCGCAGGTGGGGTCGAGCAGCGTGAGCTCACTGGGGTTCAGGCTGGGAACAGACTCCAGTTTCACAGCCAGGGTGGTTATGGTACCATTAGGGAAACACTCAGTAAGCAGTGAGAAGAAATTGCAAGCCATCAAGAAGTCACTGATGGGCACATTAGATTCTGGATCCTTCAGGATCACGTCAATTCTGGTATTTTTTCAATATGCGTATATGTGAAATGAAAAATACCATCTCCTCCTCTTCCCCCTTGTTGACAATCTTGAGGTCTTCCTTCTCCATGCTGCAGAACAGTTTGCCAAGCCCCTTCCTTAGTCACTGCAAACAGATCAGACAAAATGTCAACGGTGAACAGTGCGGGAAACATTTAATGCTGGGCTTACACTGTGCGATTTTTTGGCCCATTTTGAGCCGATTTTTGAGTCGTGCGACCGTTTTGGTGATCGGCCCGATTTTGGCCTTCATCGTGCGTCGTGCATCGTGTAGTATACGTGGGGTAACGAGACGCGATTAACACCTCACGACCAGCTCCCGATCATCAATCGCTTGGTCGTTTGAAATCCTCGCGACCGTCGTGAGGGTGTCACCGCAGTTTCTCACACTGCGCACGCGCAAACACAAATGTCAGCGAAAAAGATGGCGCAGCACGGCAGTGCAGCGTGTGATCTGGACACAAGCGACGGAGGCACAACTTGTAGAACTATGGCAAGCTGATCCGAGCCTTTTCGATGTGGTCTCACAAAATTATCACGACCACAACAACCGTGAAAATAGTTGGATCTACACTGCTGCTCAATCACAGCTGCCTGATCAATGCTTTTAGCAATTTAGCAAAGTTGATGGCGGTGGTGTGCGTGTCTGTGTGTGAAAGACAGAGAGGGAGAGCAAGCGACAGAATTTCTGTTATAACCTTCATTTTATGGACGCACAGTGTGAGCACTCGGGTCGCATCAGAGCATCGGGCCGTATAGTGTGAGACCCTGCATCGTGACCTATGAACTTCTAACCCTTGCGAGTCAATCGTACAGTTTGAGCAGGAGCTGAATCGCGCGACTGGGGAGAAAAAAAAAAAAAAAAATCGCACAGTCTCTGCCCAGCTTAAGCTTCACAGCAGGCTTTGAAACCGAGAGCTCAACAGCACAGTGTCGGAACAAGTCACAAGATAACACCACATTATTTGTTTAAATTAAAGATTGATTAATCAAAGCCCTGTAAAGTGCTTAACAATGTCAAATGTCAAAGACAAATGTCAAAAGCAAATTACAACTTTGGAAAGCAAGTTTCTGTCTTTTTAATCAATATTCTTAACGCAATCTTCTTGACTGAAGTGACCAGGGATTTTGTATTTAAGCTCCACGTGGCAGGTCGGATATTGCTTAGGAAGGAAGCTGATTTTCTGCATCATTCACAAGATCAAAAAAACATTTACCAGCACTCAAAGTATGCACTTTAAGCCAAAGAGGTTTGGACCAGTGGAAGTAACGGCAACTACAGGAGGGTTTTAATCTATAACACATATAGTCACACATATAATCTATAGAATATATATTTTTAGCTAGCAGATCATACACATGTTATACTCGCTAACCCTGCGAGCATGCTATATATTTAATTTTTAGATTTATTGAAAGAAATCTCACTTGTGGATTTTTTTCCCCCAATAAAGTTTGAAGTGACAAATCCTCACCCCCCTACCTCCCTCTTCACCCACGACTGCAGACCTGCTGATGGTTCCAACACCATCATTAAGTTTGCAGATGACACCACGGTGATTGGCCTCATCAATGACAACGATGAGGCCGCCTACAGGGAGGAGGTGGATCGTCTGGCTGAGTGGTGCGACACAAACAACCTGCTGCTTAACACCGAGAAGACCAAGGAGCTCATCGTGGACTACAGGAGGAATGCTGACCCACATCCACCCATCCACATTAAGGGGACGGCTGTGGAGCGTGTGAGCAGCTTCAAGTTCCTGGGAGTCCACATCTCCGAGGATCTCACCTGGATGACCAACTGCTCCAAGCTGGTCAAGAAGGCTCACCAGCGCCTCTTCTTCTTGAGGACTCTGAGGAAGAACCACCTGTCCTCAGACATCCTGGTGAACTTCTATCGCTGCACCATCGAGAGTATCCTGACCAACTGTATAACAGTCTGGTACGGGAACTGCTCTGCCTCGGACCGGAAGGCGTTGCAGAGGGTCATGAAAACTGCCCAGCGCATTGCCAGAGCACCACTTCCTGTCATAAAGGACATCTACAGGAAGCGGTGTCTGAAAAGGGCTGGGAAAATCATCAAAGACCCCAGTCACCCATCACATGGACTCTTCACCCTCCTGCCCTCTGGGAGGCGCTACAGGAGCCTCCGGACTAAGACCACCAGGTACCGGAACAGCTTCTTCCCCACAGCTGTCAGACTCCTGAACTCTGCCTCCTGACATCTGACCCACATTAAACTCACGGACTGGACATACACACACACACACACACACACACACACACACACACACACACACAACCACCCACAACCCCACACACACACACACACACACACACACACACAGGACAACTGTACCCTCAAACACACAATAATAACATGGACTGAACCACCACTCACAACCACTAGCACTTTATATAGCCTCTTAACTGCACTACTGTATAGTTCTGTGTAAATAATCATACGATAATTTTTAATTCTATAACTGTTCGCAACTTGCATAGTTCCCATTTCTGAATAAGTGTATATCTCATATTTCTGTAAAGTTCATTATTTCATATTCTGTATAGTTTTTTTCATATATATATCCTGTTCATAGCCTGTACATAGCTTGTACTCACAACAGCCTGTACATACTTATAGTTATAGCATATTCATAACATACTTCATACCGTGTACATTATAACATACCGTAATAGACCCATTTCTGTAATATACTTACATATCTATATTATTGCTAATATATATTGTAATATATCTATATCATGGCTAAAGCACTTCTGGATGGATGCAAACTACATGTCGTTGCCCTGTACCTGTGACATGTGCAATGACAAAGTTGAATTCTATTCTATTCTATTCTTTTCTGGCTGCCACTTCAAACAATACTGTCTTTATTTCTGTGGCTCTCTCTTATTATGAATCACTTTGTGGCAGAATACACTTTAGACAAATGTAAATGAAAGCATCGCCGTATGCCAATTGTAAACTGCAGGCATGTGCCAGTCAGTTTAGAATAGTTCCCATTAACTAATTTCACTTGGTAAGGATAAAATTGGAATAAAATATAAATTAAAACATTATGGACATAAAGTTAAGAACATGTCTATGGATACATTAGTGAACCGTTTTGTTTTTCCTATCTCTGTCCACATACAGTCGTGCAGCATTTACATTGGGTTAAAGAGATTTTAGCAAATTACAAATTCAGATGTAGACTGTAGCACACAAAACATGGCCCAGCAGCAATGAACAGCACTTCCCAAAAAGCTGCTCAACCTTAGTACACCTGAGACTATCTCTTAAGTCAATACACCCACACAGTCTGAATGACTCATCAAACTCATGCATTACTCCAGTCCATATCAAACTTGTTGCTCCATTCCTCTCTCAATTCCCAAGAGGACTACACATCCCGTACAGAAGGAAAATTGCCAGTGTGTTTGGACGTGCATGTGAATTTTGCTGTATTATCCACTGAACAATCTTTGTCAAATGATTCCTAAGGTGCTTGTAAACACAAGTTAGGCTATAGACAGTTTCACTTTTTACTTAAAACCCCAGCAAACCGTCACTAAGTAATATTACAGACAGTTGATCAGGTTCACTCCAGAGGGGCTAAATGGGGCTACTTGGGGAAACATGGCACACAAAGATGCAAATTAATGTTTCAAGAAGTAAGGCCCAGACATTAAAACAGTGCCGCATTTGACCATTTCTACATTCCACAAAAGACAAGAGAAAGTAAAAAAGAAATCGGAGAAATCAGAGAATCCAGCTTCTCTGATTACATCAGGCACCACTGGTGGGGTGTGGAGTAACTGAAGGTGTAGCTCTGAAAGTCAAGAAAAACAAGTCAAGAAAAACCAAGGACTGCTTGACCTTTACCTTCCACTGTGCTAGCCTTATACAGGTCAGTATAGACAGGAGTCAAAGTTAACTGAAGTTAGACTCAGGTTACAAGCCTGAATATTAAATAGCAAAATACATCAGTACACACAAAGATAAGCAAATCCAACGAGGTATTAAGTCAGGCAAATGGTTAGGATACCCTCTCTGACAGCAATTATCACTGGAGAGTTCTGGTATGATATGTCAGGACAGAGTGCCAATAGGGCCACCCTTCTACTGCATCCAACGCCCTGTATAACCCAATTATCCTATATCACTGCCTCGCACACTCAGATCTTATCTTGCCTGCTGCACCCGGGTGGACTTTTTCTCTGGCATACTGCGGGATATTTTGCTTAGGACCAAGCCCTTCCTTGTATTTTTCAATAGCAGCCCCCCTAGCCAGCGCTCAGCGGTGGCTGCATAACAACAAGAACATTCCCTCCTAAATTTCTGCTATAACTGGAAATGCCAACCCAAGTACATCATGGACACAAGCACCCACATGACTGTCCAGAAATGCATTGGGAAGGCACAAGCACAACCCGATTGCATTACAGAAACATTTAAGCTAAAGGGACTGGACTGATAAACACACACACACACACACACACACACACACACACACACACACACACACACACACACACACACACACACACACACACACACACACACACACACACACAAACACACACACACACAAATCACTCAGCTTAACTCAACTACTCAAAACATTGAGACTGGACTGACTAATCAACACAAGCGCAAACACACTGACCTACACCACCAAACTATCGTACACACCAACCTGTAAATGCTCTTTTGCACAATATTATTACTGGACTTTTTGCACTAACTTCTTCACTTCCTAATTTTTGCTGCTACACTAAGGAATGTTTACTGTTCCTCCACTACCTCAACTCATCATCACAAAACCTTATTATTATGTTACGTTGTGTTTTTTTCTCACACTGTCACTTTGTTGCTCTTGTTCGCACATTTGCACGTGCACTTTGTTGTCTGCTGTCTGTTAAAAAAAAAAAAAAGTCTTCTTTAGATAGTTAGATTTTGTTAATTTATGTTGTCATTTATGTTAGGTCAGTCTGTCTTGTCTCTGCTAGCCAGCTAACTAGGCCTCTTAGTTAGCTAGTTTAGTGTTTTCTGTTAATTTATGTTGTAAATTTATGTTGCATGTACCACCTTGGTCCTGGAGGAACGTTGTTTCGCTTCACTGTGTACTAACTGTATATGGTTGAAGTGACAATAAAGCCGACTTGACTTGAAAAAGCTCAGGTAATTAGTTCCAGTGATTACCATGGACCAAATGGATTTAAATTTATTAACGGGAATCATTTCATCTTATTTTAAAAGCTTGTACAGATTCTCCCACATACAGCTTAATAATTACAAGCCATTTTTCCCATTTCAGTATTAACATCCTTCTCTTCAAGGACCAAACAGTCTTGGGATCTGGTGTAGGTGAAGATGTATACAGTGGGGGAAAAAAATACTCATGAGACACCCAGAAAATTTGCCAAGACAAAGTTTGAAATAAATGGAAAAAAGAAATTAATGCGACAATAGTTAGCATCAAGGAGGATTTATAGGCAGAAAGCATGCTTGGCAATCTTTCCATAAAACTATTTATGGAAATGGAATGCATTAAAACTATTTAATGCATTTAGCTTGACAACAATTTAAGGTTAATCAAAGATTTTTGTACATAAAACTCTGGTAACAGAGAGTGGTGTTATATGCTTTGGACCGTTAAAGGTTACACCTGAGTCATTAACTATTTTGTATTAAAGTGGTACTACAATAGAACCCTGTGGCACACCTCTGTTGACACTAATGAGGCTGGACTGTAAGCCATCAGACCCCACAGCTTGTATAACACAGCTGAGACAATTTGCCACCAAAACCAAAAAAAGATGCCTCATAAGACAGTCACAATAAAGAGTATCAAAAGCCTTAGATCAATGACTAAATATAATCAGGTACTGTTTTGTACCCCAAACAGAAGAATGACAAATAAATGACACATTTTAAAATAGAGTACTATGTTAAAAATGACCTCAATGACATAACATGACACTAGGGCTGCTCAATTAATCGAATTTTAATCACGATTACGATCTGGGCTTTCAACGATCATTAAAAATGACTGAGCCGATTATTAGCCCCTCCCTCGTGCTTTACTCTCGCGCTGCTCCGTGTGGCAAATCGAGCGCACCTCTCTGCATTTCGAACACGCGTCACAACAATTAAGAGGACCCGAGGGAAGCTCGGAAAGCTATGCAGAAGTTATTTGGAGAGGAGAGTGACTGCCGTTGGTTGAAAAGAGGGGTAAAAAAAAAACAAAAAAACTTCAGTGGTGTGGAAACATTATGGGTTCGCGGAGTCAGACGTGGATCAAGTAGACATAGTGTGTAAACTTTGCTACGGTGTCATAGCATAGCTGCACCACAGAGCAACACTGCAAAGTTCACTAAAAGTAGATGTTTACATTTTTCATTTATTTTTTATATTGCAAACATTTGCACTATTACCAGTATTTGCACACTATTTTATATTATTTTTTAAAGTCTTTATTCAATACATTGTTATTGTTAACCCTTTAAATCCCTGTAGAACCGGAACCGTGTAAGCTAGCGCAATAATTTGTTTTGCATATGAAACCGGAGGAGTTGTAATTACATCTTATGCCATCAGCTTGTCCTCGGTCACGGTTTCCTTCCACATAAAGCTTTGCAAAAATTGCATATAAAGCGCTTGCAGGAACAAAAACATAATATTCCAGAAACACGCTTTGCCGTTCCTATCAGCTGTTCGTAACACTTCCCACATTGAAAAAGACGTCAACGCGAACTATCGCATGTCCGCCATTTCCTGTCCGAAACCGGAAGTGACATCATTTTCGCGGAAAATGTAGTTTTTTACTTGTAGGCCTTAAAAGCCTATACTGGTGATTTTATAAGTCATGTTTGACTCTATACTTTTCTGAATAGTTTCTGGGATGCTTGGAACTCGAATTGCACTGCTGGAAATAGTTTATTTTGATGCACATGCTGTTTTCTTTGCAAATTTGCATCATAGGATTGTTTTTTGTTTTTCCTGCAGTATATAAAAATTGCTGTATCTCCAAATAAAACTATGAAGACACTCAAATAAATTTCCTGTGGTGGGAAACTATTTTTTGCAACTTTTTTGTATTTAAAGTTTTGAGGGATAAGCCTCTTAAATTTCCCCAAGTAGAAATATATGTAAAAAAAAAAAAAAAAAAAAAAAACGATTTTCAATTTTTTTGTAGTTTATTGCACTTTTTTGCAATTAATGTAATTACTATGGACTTAATGCATACATATTATTAAAATATGGGCTATAACAGTTGTATTGATGTATAGCAACTTGAAATGCTCCCAAAAATGGCACTACAACATGTAAAAAAAATAATATAAGCTCTGGCGGCCTTGGTTCTATGGTAGGTCTTAAAGGGTTAAATAAATATCGTCAAATAATCGAGATCTCAATTTCAGTGAAAATAATCGTGATTATCATTTTTGCCATAATCGAGCAGCCCTACATGACACAACATCCAAATATAAATTGCAGCTAAAAAGGATTACAGAGTATCAAGTTTATGTGGTTACTGAAACCAAGACTGTTACGTAGTCTATCCAGATAACAGAGGGTGGTGACCTCTAATTACAGGTTCCAAACAGACAACAGCAGTTTAAACCTTACCAGACTTATGACCCCATTTATGATTCAAGTACCACTATGTGACAACTTAACTGAAGCTAAGAAAAAGTCGAGTCAAATTTTTTTTCCTGTCTGCCAGGTTAGGAATGGTTACAAAGTAAATAAATAAGGTGTATGGAAATATTGCAACATAATAAGAAAATTGGGTATGGTTAAAAGTTTGCTAAAATGCCGTAACAATAGAACATTTTGCATCATAACAGAGAGAAGAAAAATATAGTATTCGTTGTTGCCTTCCTTTTACTTAATTCATGAAGTAAAACAGCAGCTGGCCATCATATTTGCTGTGCAATTGACCCCTTGGGGATTAATCAGAATCAGAATACTTTATTGATCCCTAGGGGAAATTATTAACACTTTGCTTGTCTGGTAATTAAAATGAAGATTTTTTTCAGATATGTGGATAAATTAGATATTGAAAACCACAAACAGTTGAACATAACTAAATTACTGCTTAACGTGAATGTTCAACTGACTAATATTAAAGCATGCCACGGCAGATTTCAGCAACATAACTGAGTGAGTATATCACAAGTCTTTTAACAAAATTATGTTTTTTGAAGGTTTCTGTGCACCTACCTTGAGAGCCAGGGACAAAATGCCCCAGGCGGTCCTCTTCCCCACAGTTAGCTTGCTCTCTAACCACACTAACCTGGAACCCTGGATGGAAAAATCCAAGAGAAAAAAAAACATTAAAAATTACATCACACAATCTACATTACAATTGATTTCCAAATATTCTGAGTCTTAGGTAGGTTGAAGGTTAACTGAGGATACACATTTACAAACCAATATTACCAAATAGCCAAAACTGTTCAGAGTTTCTCCTTAATTGTCACTTCATCAAGATACAGAAAGATTGCTTCAGAATTTGATTGTAGTTGATCATTTGATTTGGTCCTATTGCCACCTTTTCCAACAACACTTCAATTCTTCTTCTTTTTTTTTTTTTAAAGTTAAGTATCTAAAGAATTAAATAAATAAATAAATAAAAATGGGTTAAATGTGAGTTTAGTCCAAAACCTAAACTGGCACCACTGTGGAATAAGAAGTCTGTTCATATAAGATGGATCTGTTGGGTTTCAAAACTTAAATTATTCATTATGATGCTGTACCTATCTTAATAAAAGCTTTTGACCTATTTTACACCTGAAATTATTAAAAGATTTACTGTGTGACAAACTGTTCATTTGGTTTTGTTATTTATTCATTACTGAGAATATACAAGCATGTTGTGGCCTCCAAACTAAATGTTGAGGATGAAACAGGTTCCAGTTTTACATCTTCCCAGGGACTTCAGAATCTCAGTACTTCAGGTGCCAAGATGATAAGAAATTGTTTCCACTTCACTCCAAAGTTTAGAATTACACCAGCCAATTGCTCAGCAGATAAGGTATGCCTCCTGCTTTGAATACAAGAGTGACAGGAGGAACTAGTATTCACACTGGAACACTGAGGACCTTGTGTGAGGCCTCCAGGAGCCAACATGACTTCACAGATATTTATAGATCGCTTGAGCCCAGCCTAAGGCCACATTGTTGTCTCTTATCTAATCAAATAAGAGACAACAATGTGGCCTTAGACTAATCAATCTGCCATTAATAAGCAATGTTTGCTTGGGGAAAAAATAAAACATTAAGCAGCTGTTGATCTTTTTTCCCCAAACAAGAGAAAACATTGCAATCATCCGAGTTCCTGCAAAAACTCTGTAAGATGAAAAAAAAAATCCACTTAATATAAATTTATAAAACCTCAGAGGCTCAATCATGAACACCTATTTGAGTCCTAAAGCATCTATGATCCTGTACAGCTTTTACACAGCCCAGTGCCTTATATAACCACAATATTGTCAGCATGTATTTGATTGCGGAGTTTATGGCTTTAATATACAAACAATCATTAAAGTCAGCAAGTGGAACATTACATATGGCCAGTATGGAAACAAATTCTACCAAAGTGGGCTACCAATGTTTCTGGATTTTTATTCTGTGAAATATTTTTTAGTTACTGTACCAACTACAAAAATTGTTAGAAAACACTAAAATATGTCATCAAAATTCTTTGATGCAAGTACATCCACTTACATAAAATTTACACGGCATACAAGAAGCGTCCAGAGAACCGTTCTTGTTCTCCATTCTTTTCTTTTTTTAACAATAACAAATGATTAGCGGTCAAAGATTCACTTAGCATGTGGGATTTAATTAAAAATACTGCTTGCACATAATGCTCGGGCACTTTGTAGATTTTTATCTTAGCAAAGAGACAAATAAATAATGAGAGTAGACATATACTCCTTTCCCTTTCTGTCCTGTTCTACAACACACAAGACAAAAAGGAAAAAGTGAACAATGAGCCATGACCTAATGACATAAGTCTATAATTCATGGAAGCATTTGGAGGAAAAAGTGTTTTGTTGCCATCATACTCTGAACTCAATGCGCTTTCTTTATCACTTCCCCTCCTACTCATTGGGTATTAAAGCCAAACTATGTTTCCCATCATGAGCCAGTCATGTTGTTTATCATTATAGCTTCTGGGTTCACTTTAAAAAAATAAATAAATAAAATCTTTTAACTACCTGCCCTTCCTCGCCTGTGTAGACTAAAAAGAGTTCCTGAGACAGCCTTCAAAGTTCTCCAACACATAACACAAGTTTATAAATAACTGAATACAATTTTAACTTGCTTGTTTTACCTAAAATGTATGTTCCATTCATGCACATAGAGCATCTACTGCATCCTTTGGGTTTAGGTACATACACAGATATGAAAAAAAAAAAACAATGATGTAAAGTGTTGACTTGTTGGTTATAGTTAATCAGTTTGTGATATATATTGTTATTGGGATAAAAACAAACAAACAATCTAAACACTTTTTCTGTAAATTCAGTGAATAATTTATGTAATCATCACATGGGAAGTACTATTTATTTATTTTTTTACATCTGACAAAGTCGGTGTCAGACTTTGTTACAGAGGTAGCCCCAAATTTAGGAACAAGCGCCTCAACTTGTTTTGGCTGGTCTCTCTGGGATGCCACGGTGACTGTTGCAAACTGTCACCTAAAGCAACAAAAAAACTATTGCAGTAAACAGTGCATTTCCTGCAGCATGAAATAAACAATAGAGTATAACATAAAACGATAGACAAAGTTGTCATCCGATATATTTTGTCAATCTGGGGGAGCATCACAATGGCATAACGATTATAACGCACAACCACAAACCACATGAACCCTAAACCTACACAAACAGAAAATAAGAAAGAACTGCAAGGCTGAGGCTGTGTTGAGCATTCCAATCTTCAAATCTTTAAACCCGACCTTTAAAAAGAAACTCGGACTCTCAAACGTGGGCCGACATGCAATTAAGAACGGGAATCCAATTTGTCTGAAGTGCTGAAGCTAAAACTTATCGAAAATAAGAAGGATTTGAGTGGTTAAATGCTTCATTTATTCAATACAAATCTTGAAATGATTTCAGTGTGTTCATCGGCACGTATAAAGGCATCAGTATAACCACGACACAGTAACACCAACTCTGATCACTAGTTGCAAAATGTTAACAGTAACTCTTCTATCTCATACCTGCCGTGCTCATATTCAATTTTAATGCGATTAAAGAAAGATCAGGAGTCTCCCCATGTATGAACAACAGAATTAATAATGATAGCTGTGTAAGGAATCTGAAGAAATCCAAACATTAGTTATAATGTTATAATCGCAGCAATCACACCAGAAAGCCATGTCAAATTTATTCAGCTGCAAGACATCAACCAGAAACACACAGCTTAAGTTGTTTTAAAAAATACATGAAAAAAAGTCCTGCAAAAGATGGTATCTGTTTATCTCAACATCATGAATTCTGTCAGGAATTACCTAAGTCACAGAACCTAAAACTCACAGAGGAACTGTTACAACTTCTCCATGTTATTCGAAGAAACGTCCAGCCGAGGAGCTTGAAAAACTGGTCTCAAGACAAACTAGGAAAACTGGCTTAGTTTAAAGGTAGTTAAAGGTGAGATCACCTTACATCATATACTCTTGCACCTTACTGCAGAAACAAATATAACAAAAACACAAAACTGTGAAGAGAGCTGCTGAAATGATGTGCCATCGTCATCTGTGTCAGGTGAAAACGGACTTCAAGGGATGACTCCAGACGGTGAAAGACAAAAAAGAAAAGAAGACAGAGAGCTTGGTTTCCTTTCCTATGGAAAGAAAATACTAGAGGGAAAAGCCTGGGAAAAACTTTAATCCTCAAGATCAAAAGTATGCTAAAGTTCAAGTCTGATCGCATGATCTTGGATTAACAGGAAAATTGTTTGAAACTGTGCTTTTCACTTTACAGAGGTGTGTACTAGTACACAATTTCAATTAGGTATTAACTTTTTCAACACGGTCGTAACACCAAGACAGCTTTTTTACACTTTCCTATCCTCATATGAGAAACGAGTGAGGAAAATAACCCAAACAGTAGCCACAGTCTGCCAAGTCACAGGGCTGGACTGCCAACGTCTGGTATATTCGGTAGGTACTCTGATTACATGCTACAAGCTAACAGAGTAAAAGGTAGAATTACAGGTCATTTTTAAAGCTACAGTGTGTCAGCAGCAAAGGAGCCAAGTGTCATTCAGCATTTCATCCATGTAATGGTAGTAAAGCTCGACTTCAGCAGTTGTTTCTTATTATGAAACATCAGTTTAGGAAACCCAAAACTTCCCCTGTGTCAATATAAGTGCGTGGCTCCGCTACTGCAAGGTGGATTAGTGGTACAACTGTGCTGTTAACATGCATTACGTATTTTAACCCGGTATAAGGAAAGTTTAAAAAAAAGTTTATATATTCTTTTAATATAACCAATGATCTAATTATCATTAGAAGATGCCTCTTGAATAAACAGACTGGTTCTTTTATAGAGCTATTCTACTCTGAGTAATCAAAGTGCTTTATATAACTTCCCTCATTACCCATTCACACCGATTCATACAAGCACTTTTATCTATGGTTTACTCAACTCAGTCAACAAGTGCTTTTTATCTAACATTCACACACATTCATACTCCAATAGATGCATCAAAGAGCAACTTATAACTTAGTAGAAGACCTACTCTACTAGACTGTATCTAGATTCCACTCATATCACTTGTAACAATTGATTATGCTGAAAGAGCCCGACGGGTGCCGATAAGAGCAAGCAACAGTCACGATCTGCAAATAAGCTCTGCCATATAAGCCTAATAACACCTGATAAACAATGCTCTAAGGTCGTACAGCGCATGTTTGTCAAGATGTTTTCGGTGTTTTTATGACCTCACTTTGCTACCTAAAGCCTTAAAAAGTCTTAATCAACATGACACTGCAATCTCAGGTTTGCACTGGTCTGTTAAATTTTGCAGTTGTTCCTATTTTCATTGAAAGCATTCTCACTTTTGCTGAGAACTTGAGTGTTCTGGTCTTACTGAAGGCAAACTGTGATACCAGCAGTAGAAAGCTGCGTTTCTCTATCACACTGCTCCGAGGCTCCCACATCAAACAGCGCTGGGCTGCTGAGAGGACTTTTACCATGTCAGGATATTTGACATCTCTGCTCTGAATTAACACTGGCAGGCCTTCCATCACAGGTTGATGTGTTCAAGCTCACCTGTAAAAGCCCTACAGGCACTGGCTCAAAGGACAGTGGAATACTGGCACCAAACTTCTTAATTTAAACCGCTTTCAAGTGCTCAGCTCGACAAGACCTCAAGCTCCCTCACAGAGAAGAGCCAAGTCCAAGGGTAAAAGGGCAAGTTAGCTTCTTAGTTCTTCAATTCTTCTTTATCCAGTTTAAAACAAAAAATAGTTTTAAGTGCTGAACAGACCTATCTTATTTACAGACCAATAGTGTCAAATTTTATGAATAAATGCAATTCATCTTACATCTGAATCCCATATTGCTCAAGGTCTCACGTGAAAGAAGATCTAGAGGAATGGATATTACTCCACTCAACTCAACGTTCATATTGTCACTAACTGTAGTGATACTGAAGATAACACTGGCTCTGTTAAAGTGAAAAGACATCAAATATTTACAAATATTTATAAATATATATATATATATATATATATATATATATATTACTCAATGCAGCTACCACGAGAAGCCTTTCACAAGACCTGTGATTAAATGCTATCAAACATTAGTCAAAGTTATTTTATTAGCATGTTTTCATACGCTGTAGTTATTGCAGGTGTATTAACTTTTCCAATCCTACAAATTACTCGAGGATGAAATGTAGCAGGTGTGTTAGATTAAACTGTACGCCCAACAGTTTAAAGCGTCTTCAGATTTACTTTTTATGCCAACGAAATGATAACTGGATAAGAAAAAAAGCCTTCTGCAGATCAAAAGGCTCATCACAACTGCGCAACTGGCATGCACATGTTTACAACTTGAAGGGTGAAAATTCATGATTTTCTGTCACTACGTACTGTCAGTATCATAAAGGATATGACCGGATGCTGTCCAGCAAAACTGATCTGTATTAAAAATGGAAAAATTACTCCGGGGGAACAATCCTGGCTACAATCCCAGGTATCCACTTAGGTGGGTCTGGGCAGATAAGAAGACATGATTGAATGTTTGCTAGCTGGCTAACATTAGCCAAGTTGCATTGTTAGCCTGACTAGCTTAAAAACAACGTCCAGGTATCCTCCACTGTTGAGCTGTTTTCCCAATTTAATCGCTGCCAAAAGGAAAACTGTATCTCAGAGGCAACCGTGGTGATTCTCCACCCGTGCTGCTAGAAGGATGAGGCTGACGTCTCCACACGCATCAGCTAGAACCATACCGCTTTTAGCATTTAGCCGCGCTTGATAACGAAAGACACATGGGTGATGATGATGATGGTGGTGGTGACAGCGATGAAGGCAAAACCGCACAGATATTTCATTATAAGACACTCACCCAGAACCACCTGGACACGCTGAAGATCACCTTCGAGTCATATTGAGAAGAAAGTAGCTGTTATCTGATGAAAAACGTCGCTGACGGAGAAAACGGGCTAAGTTGATTAGAAAAATGTTGTCGCGGCAGAGGAGGCTTGCAGTGTGTTGACAGCTCAATGGGATAGACCGAGTACTACAGCAACGATGAACTGGCCTGAACTGGCTGTCTGACTGCAGGAAGTGACGTCCATCTTTTCGCGTGACGTCACGTAAGTAAGCGACGAGCACTTTTCCCTTAGAGAAAATATTATAACAGCTGCAAAGGGAACGCTGCCTCATGCTATAGCCTTGAACGCAATAAATAAATAAATAAAATAATGCTGGGCTAGCAAGGAGTCAGTGATGCCTCTAACACAGCACAGTGTACGCACAATATCAGTGTAAGGAGGAAGTACAGATTTTTTATTGGTTATTTACGAAAATGTTTTAGAGTTTCTCAAGAAGAAGCGATGACGAAAGCCATTATTGCGAGATCGATCAACTTTAGACCAGACAACAAACGACGGAGGCTCCGGAAAAGTGCAATCAAACGATGAGTTTTATTATCACAGGAGAACAACCAACCGTCAGCATACGGAATGGGTTGCTCTGACAAGAATACACTGGGTTCTGGTTTTATAGGACAAAATATCACACCTACGTCAATACAGTTCAAAAATACATGGTGACAGACGGGCAAAAGTTCAATTCGTGCAGACAAGGGTTCATCACGTACATATAACCTTACACCGACATATAACTTCTCCTTTCTACATTACTTGCCTTTCAAGGTAATAACTTCAGGTCTTAGCATTTCTGAGAGCTAATAATGGACCCTCGTCATTAATCCCTAAGTAGAGTACTTTTGCAGCCAGTCTCAAACTGAAGTAGAAGACGCTTAGGCCTTCACTCAAACCTGCTACTAGATTAATATGTGTATTGTAAGCATGCATGCAATTAACCTGCTATGTTCTCATCTTCTCTCAACATGTATCATCTGGACACTCTCACCAGTGAAGCTTAAAACCTTCTAGAATGGAACATCAACTCTTAACCAAGCACATTTATGCATTGTGTATAAAATGAACTCAACCTGTAAAAATAGAAAGGTCAATGTGATGACAGACATATTCAATGCAATATAAACCCTGTAAGAGATATTACTGATAAATGATACTGTGAAACATTTTATTAATACATTCTTCATAAGGCAAATTATATGGTAGCAATAAAAGAATCTCTGAATCCCAACACCATCAAACGCTTTATTGCTAAATAGAGTAAGAGTTTTAGAGTTTCCCGAGATTCGGGGTATCAAATATCTGCTCTGTCAGCTGTTCATCGTCCTTTTTCGTTGTATTTTTTGCTTGTTTGTTTTACGTTCTACATAGTTTTCAGAGCAGGTTTGCTTATTCCAGCTTTCATTGTTTAAAGTATTTTTGCTTTGGTCAGTTTTGAGTAAGAAGAGAGTATAAAGGCTCTGTGGATCAGGGGCGGATCTAAAGGGGTGGCATGGGGTGGCAAGTGCCACCCTAGTTTTGCATATGACAGTGTGGGGTGGCGTGGGGTGACATGTGCCACCCCTAGTGCCACCCTAGTTTTGCATATGACAGTGTGGGGTGGCGTGGGGTGGCATGTGCCACCCCTAGTGCCACCCTAGTTTTTCGCATATGACAGTGTGGCAGTGTTGTTTATTAAAATAAGATAGCATTAACACTTTAGTCTAGCACTAAACTTCACCATGATATTGTCATGAATAGTAGCGCACACTAAACCAGGTGAGAGCCACAAATATAGTTATTTCACTGTGTTTATTGAGCACATGTTGAATGCTTTCTGCTTTTTGCAACTTCATAAATCTTGGGGGCTTACAAAGAACTGATCAAAAGAAATTAAGATATCCAAACTTGACATATTTAATCCCTAATTCAGCCAAGCTTCATAAAAACTAGATAATTCTTTCTCCTGCCAAAAGCAGTGAACACACAACTTAAGTTCATATACCCCATTTGTAAAACACATACCAAATCAGTTGCTCCTTTGACAAAGAAATTCAGCAACCCACGATTATATAATCCTTTATTCAGTAACAACCATGTATTCATGAGTGAAGATTTAGTTTCTGATTTATTCCTCACTTGTGCACTTCAACTATTGTGTCACTCCTGTGCAATTCACCTCCCCCCTTTGCTAGCCAAATTTCAAGGTAAAAAAAATGTTCTTTTTTTTTTTTTTTTTTGCCTGTCCCGTTTGGCTCTTTTGCCATCAGAATTGTTGTCTAAAGGCAAACAAAGATGCCTAACGGATTTACTTTACCAAATTGACCATCCCAGCCTTGCCGTAATGGTCCATTTGATTGACCTTTTATTGTTTATTTTATTTTCACTTACTGAATACGGGACAGACTTGACTGGGAGAAAGAAGGGGAGAAAGAAAGAGGGAAAGAAACAGCTGAGAAGAGGGACGGGGAGAAGGGCAAAAGACAAAAACCAACAGAACGGGCAGAGAGAAAAAAAAATGCATATATCAATCACCTGGATCACCTGCTGAGAAAGAAAAAAGAAAACAAGCAGAAGAGAACAAGAGTAATAGAATAAACAACATCACAATGATATATGGGAATATGACAGTAAATACTAAATGTTAAACATTATTGTGCAGCACATAAGATCAACAGAACACAGTGTGCTTTGAGGTAGGAGCCAAAAAGGGTGTAGTTTGTGGGTGTGATCACCCTTGTGTACACCTGTGAGCATGGACGCGCTTGTTTTTAAAAAGGTTCCTTCATCTAATGATCTGCTAGAGGGTGTGGGGGGGCCACAGCCCCGTCCTCCAGGGCATGAAGCAGGTATGGAGGAGATCAAAACTCCAGACATCCAGAGGCCCCCAGAACACAAGAGACCAAGGAAGACCAACAGAGGGGCAGCCGCGCCACTGTCCCAGAAAGAGCTGAGGAGAGTCCCAGATGAGGGCTCACTCAGCAGCCGCGGAGCAGAAGCCAGGGGGAGTTGCAGTGACGCGCCCGTGAGCTCCGCCGGCAGCCAGCCGTGCCTGAGTGACCGAGCCCCAGGCCGAGAGGCCGGGGGCACCCCACCTCCGAAGTGGCCTGAGCGAGCCCCAGGCTCCAGGCCCCGATAAGCGGCCGCCAAGGAGTGAGCCGGTGTTTACCTGGACGCCCATCCCCGGACACAAAGAACCACCAACGCACCGATGTCTGAGGGAGTCCGCCACTGGCAGGGGAAGTGGTGGTAGGGGGAGATAGGCCTCCAAACCTTGGAGGGCCTGAGATGTCCCCAGAGAGGTGGCGCCTGACACCCAACCTGACATATAGACACAGACATACAGGCACACACAGACACAAACATCCATTCCCACCCTCATGCTCTCATATGCACTTACTCCACACTCAACCAACGTGGAGACAGACATAAAGAGACGCTGTACACACGATCACACTCCCCAAGCGTACTCTACAAACCGGGTCTAGGTACCCTTGCCCCTGGAGGGGGGAACTGCACCCAGACCCAGGTGGTGTTACCCTTTTCCCTGCGGTGGGGGGAGGCAGACCGCCCCGACTCCGCAGCAGCAGGAAGGCCCCACACTCCAGACCGCAGTCGGACGGCCAACTCCTCCTCCTAGCCCCCCTGCTCCAGCAGGTCGCAGAGAATGGGGGTGAGAGAAGACTCCAAACCTCCCTCCACCCGCTCATATGTAGTGTTGATGCATATGTGTTCTAAGGTGCATTTAAAACCCAGGGGGGCATGGAGCTACCTGCCAGAGAGCAGCAGGTAAGCGCATAGTCCCTCCTGCTAGCCCTCAATGTCTACGTGTATTCAAAATTGAGAGGTGGGCAACGACGCCAGGGGTGAGGTGTACACCCTGATGGTACTTTGGACTCCGTGATTGTGCCCACCCCCAAGATCCTATATGTATGTGTAATGAGAGTGTGAGTCATGTGAATGTCTAAGTTGTGGGATAAAATTGAGGCAGAGGCAGCCAGAAGGGGACAGAGGGCGGGGGGGGGTAGCCTCCTCTGCACCCTGGTGACATACCCCTACTCCAAGGTCCTGCATGTGTGGGTGGTTGTGGTGGAGCGGGAAGAGGGAGGCAGCTGGAGATGGGGAGGGGGTCAGCTCCCCCGCTGACCCCAGTAGGCACCCCCATACTCCGCGACCCGCCAGGGAAAGGGGGCCCAGGCCCATCCAGACCGGGGCCCAGTGCAGCAGCGCCTCCTGGCCCCACAGAGCCCGGGACAGTCCACCCAACCCCACCACAGAGAAAACTGCACCCACCCCACCATCCACTCATCTTCCAGACTACATAAGACAATAAACACCCAGGCTGAGATCTTCCTCCACCTCTCCTGTATCTCCCCCTCCTGCAGAGGGAGCTCCTGAGGAGAGGAAAGCTGTGACAATCTCCCCCACCAGTTGAAGAGCCCCCCAGGTGGCTCGATGCACCGGCGGCACCCTGCTCCAGGGCTGGGCCCCCATGCACCCACCCGCCCACAACCCCGGCAACACACCAACCAGGACCCAAGCCCCCGAGGCCCCAGTCCGGGTCCCAGCCCAGAGACGGAGCGCCCCCAGAACCTCACGCCCATCCCGGACCCACCCAGGGGCAGCCAGGCTACCAGGTCAGTAACCCACGTCCGTCAGCACAGACCCTCCCCTAGCCCCGCTGCACGCGGCCACGAGGAAACAGTCACCTGAGAGCCAACAGAGCCCCTAACCGGACATGACCGCTACCCCGGGTTGAGCCCCCCAAGGAAGATGCCTCCGGGGAACCCCCCGACGCCCTAAGCCTGTCCCTACCCCCACACCAATCACAACAGTGAAGGCGGGACCAAACTATGACCCCCCACCCCCACTAGGTGATGGAGCTGATCAAAGGAGCCCAGAGCAATTGATCTGATGTGGTGGCAGAGGCTGTATCAAGACTGATGTAATCTAATAGATAATTTCTATACTGGTTAGAATTAAGATTATTTTTATTTTTCCAGTTCATGAGGACAGTTTTCTTGGCTATGCATAGGGCAGTGAAAACCATATGGGCTATATTCTTTTCTGAAGTGACATTATCTAAGCTGCCCAACAAACACACTAAGGGGGAAGTTGGAATGTTACATTTCAGACACTTCGATAAGTCTTCACATATCTCGCGCCAAAACTTCTG